ATTTCTCATGTTCCCCTGTGCAGAGAATTTATCAGCCACCTTCGGCCCTACAAAGCCTTTTACGGTGGCCTGGCTGACCAGTTGTGTGGTAATGAGTTGGCAGCTGCCAATGGGCTCCCGTGCTGGAATGGAGAAGATGTTGTAAGAAGGTACCTTTCTGACTCACTTCTGTCTTTTCTTTTGTATTTTGTATTTTATATTTTTAATTATTATTTGTATTATATTTCTATTTATATTTGTATTTTATTCTGTATTTGTATTTTACTTGAAAGTAACTCCCATGTTGAACAAGTACCTTGTTTCCTTAGGTATGTGTTAAGATTGGTTCAAAAAACAAATCAGCATGGATTTCCTTCTCTCAGGCTTCACGTGGAAAGAGAAAAAAAATCTCACTGCACCTCTATTGTGAGAAAAAAACCAAACCACTTCTACTCTTCTTCACACATTTTTCCTTCACATTCATATTTTATCTAAACAGGTACTGGAGAAGAAGGTGGATTAGCATTTACAAAATACAGTTGGAGAAAACGAATAAGGATTTTTGTTTGAGCTTGATCTTTCTAAAATGCTTGTTTTAATATAGAGCGTGAGATAACAGAATCAAGCTATTTGCTTAAAACCTGCTCTGGCTTTGAAGAATGAAGTAATCTTTTAATACATATGGTTTCTCAGGAGACACCTAAAAGTTAAAACACAAAGATAAAGCATTTTAAAGGTGAACCACGTACTGTTTTATGTATGCAGCAGCTTGGGAGACATCATTCAGCGGCAATGGCAAAGAAGAGATAATAATAAACTGCTGTGCTACTGGGGGTGTGTCTCTGGAATCAATATATTTCACAGCTTACAAAACACTTGCATTTGTGGATATCAGAAAGATTTTCAGAAAGTTGATCTCTATGTTTTTGCTTTATCACCAAAATAAATATTTCTCTGAGCAGGAAGTCCTTGTGATGGCAGAGACCAAAATATTAAAAGGTTGATTGCAAATTTTCTTTTTTAAATAAAGATGGTGTTGTTAATACAACATTTATTAGTAGGTAGTAACAAAGGTCATATCAAGAGAGGTGGCTAAAGACTGTGAGATGAGTTAATGAAGTAAGAGCGAGCTGGTACCAAGCAGAAGGAACGGTGACATCCTGCACCTTCAGGTATTTCTGAAAAGAGTAGTTAGGAACTGTAATTTATTGATTACTGATACCTAAGGAAACTTAATGAAAAACAGCTACAGATCTACTTTTCTTAATCTTCTTAGATCCAATGTTTTGGCAGCACCAAGGCCTAATGAGTTGCCTCCTTTGATAGTCTTATTGGAAAACTTTTTCCTAAGGTTTCAACAATCTTCTCAAGATGACACGTTCCTCCTTAGATATCTGTATATGTAATCTCAGCTTCACCTCCTGGCTTTTGTTTTGCTGGCCATCCCCCAGTGAGGTACACTACTCACACCAGATGTTTCAGTAACAATTTGAAGTAAGGATCTTGTAATTACAGATTTCCTAAGAACAAGGTTCTTGACTCATTACTTTTACTGCTTATAGTCTTACTATTAACATGTTGCATCTTTTCAAATCTATATTATTATTTGATATGGTACTATTATGTTTCAGTTAATATATTACTATACTATCATCATGTTTATACTATTATGCTATACTATTTGATTTTGATTGATTAGACTCTGAAATCCTTATAGAGAAATAAAACAGTCTACTAAATTCTAGACCATAGTGTATTTTAAAAGTAATTTAATTTGACGAAAAATACTTAATTAATGCAATTTATTTATTTGTGGGTCAACGTAAAGACAAAATTGGTGACAAAAGCACTATATCTTAAAAGGAAGACCACTTCCACATTAGTTTAATTTACAATTTTCCTTGCTAAAATATTTTGGGTTTGTATGTATAATAACATATATATAATTATATTTTTGTCAGTAACTTTATTCTTAACTTACTGAAAAAGCTGACATGTAAATAATAGTTAGAAGTACAGACTACCGATTAAAACTAGAGGAGCAGTGTACTCTGAGGTGCTCTAGGTTTTCAGTTGGAGCTGAGACATGCATACAAGTTCCTAAATCTCAGTACCTCTACTTGTACATTTGTGTGTAAAATTATTGTGGCCCACATTGTCCTGCTTCAGTAGCTATATGAAGATGTTCACATCTGTCCTCTTCCTCCCAGTCATCTTGCCTTGTTACTCAGTCCAGATGTCCTTTGTTCAATTTTATTTGTTTATATTTGTTCTTTTGTAAGAAGGGGAAAAAAGTATTCCCTGTATTTTGACTGACACAAGGTGATTTTTTCACTGTTATTATTATTACAGAACTGTTAATCTAGGGATAAAAGGGAAACCACATACACTGGACATACAGTGCCTGGAAAAATCAAACTCAGCCTCAGAAACACGCTCAGGTGAACAAATTCTGCAAATTCAGAAACAAGAAGGTTGTGTTTGACCAAGAAAGGCTCCTGATCTGCCCCGCAGATTGTGCTGGGAAATGACATTTGAAATGGATCAATGAATCAATCAGCTAGCAAAGAGACCTAATGGGAGATGAGCAACATCAAAAGTGATTGTGTCCGGGGATATTGTAAAGGGGAGTGAAGCTGTCAGCCTTTGGGACTGTGGACTGGAGGCAGCTGAGCCTTCACTGTGCAGGCAAACCACGTTAGAAGGGACTAGTAGCAATGAAAACACAGAGTAAGAAATTCAAATTGATCTTGGTGAAACTCAGCCAGAGCCCATTTTTTGCATATTCAGGAAAACTGTGACATACTCATAGAGTATTCCCAGAAGTCTAATGAGATCAGTCATGAATCTAGGAAACTCAGCTTATAAAAAAGGAGTTAAAGAATTAATTTGTTTAGCCTGGAAAACTGTTAGAAGAAAATGCAAAATGCAAACAGGCTGTTGCTAGGAAAAAGAAAAGTATCTGTTATTTGCTTCCATAGTGCCTAGGACACATAGCAACCATTAAATGTATATTCTGATTAAACTTCAAGGAGAGTTTTCTAGTGTCGAGGACAATAAGGGACAAAATAGGTAGTTTTGAGGTCCAGCATCTGCCTTAAGTAGGATGTTTAAGAACAGGCAAGGCAAGGCCTTGAGCAATGACACAGCAAAAGCTGATTTTTCCGTAGAGATGTGGAGACGAATTGGTCAAACCCTTAAAATCTCCTCCAGCCCTCTGATTCTGAATCTAGGATTAACTAAATCCTATGTTGCTCAATTTCTGTTGCCATGATCCCAGGATACCGTGACATTTTAGAAGCAATAATGACCTGAGCAGGCATCATTGCTTTTCTCTGTAAATGCTGAAGAAAACCTGAACCTGTACAGTCACTCTCTTTTCTTCTTCTTTTTTTTTTTTTCTTTCCCCCTCTCCCAAGTATAATAGATATTGGTGAATTCACCTGTACAGTATTCCTAGCAGAGCTGGGGGAAAGTTTGTATTGTTCAAAATAGTAAAAGATAAATAGATTTTGTCTGTTCTGAGATTCTTCATAGTTTCCATCTGTTTTTTCCCTCTATTTAAAAATCGTGTGTCATAGCCGGTGATGACTGCAATTTTGGTCCTGACATGGGAAAGCAGTATCATAAGATACATAATACTGGTGTGAGTGTATCAGGATCTGAATAGATTGCTGAGACTGTTTGCTAAACCTGTATTTCAAGCTGCAAGTAGCAATAAGCCTTGGAGACACAAGATAGATAAGTTTAAAAAAAAATCTTTGCAGTTCTTCTTTCTTCTTTTCTGTGCATTTTTCTAAAGGAAGTAGTTCAAGGTTTTAGCAGCTACAATATCATATCTCAGATAAATCTTATAGCCTTTGCCATCTCTAATACAATCTAACAGATTATCAAGCCTGGGTGGGAAAAGGTCAGAAAAAGAGGGTATTATTGAAATGAAAGCTTACTTAACAGTTTACATTTTATATGCTTCAGCTGTTTCCTTTTTTTCTAAATTGTACTTGTCATGGTAATATGACCCTTGATCCTGAACTAGAAATTGTTCTGAATCTACCCTGTCACACAATGCAGGCTCCTGCTTTTATCTTAAACCGAGACCAGAATCCCCAAATTCCTGTATTCATATCAGACAAGACTGGTAGCAGGCAGGACTTCCAGGGGAAAAACTACTCTCAAAGGTCCACATCACTGCAGGATGAGGGCAAAGACATCTCAGAGAAGTCCTCATCCCTTCCACTGTTTTACACAGTTGTGTGATTACAGTGGTCGGGCAGGAAATTCAAACTTCAGATTTAAAGGCATAACTGAGTGCCAGGGTGAAGTACCTGGAATTTAGTGCTATGGGATTCTTTAGGTTCAATGGAAAAGGAGGAATTGCAATTAGCAAGTTAGGCACTACCAAAACATATGAGAAGAATTGCATGCACAAGTTTGGAATTTCAGTGGCGTCTTGGTATTAAAAACTAAAATAGTGGGAGTTGTGCAAATAAACTGTGGATGTTCTCATTCATGAATATAAAGTAGTTTAACTGACATTTATACAGTTTTCATGGTCCAGAGTGCCTGGCTAGAATGTGAAGAGAGATGGATTAAAAATCTGCCGAAGAGAGCAGAATATGTACTGTAGATCTCAAGACCAGTGATTTCATTGAAATAAAAATAGATGTGAGAGAAGAAAATTGTAAAATTATATGTGTTGAAGGATTCAAGAGTAATGGAGATTATTAAAAACAGCTAATCAAGTTTGGAAGGAAGAGTTTCACATGAAACACATACCTAAAGCATCCAAATTAAGAGGAATTAAACAGCTTGATTGATTTTAATTGCTGAGCAAGTTGTTAGAAAGTGATTATAATAAGCATCTATCATCAAATAAATGCTCAGTTTTAGCACAGCTCTTAGGCTGGGGAAAACAATTTTCTCTTTTGATTCGCAAATATTCTGAAACAAGACTACTATCCTGAATCTATTCTAAGCCAACAAAAGAAGATAAATGGTGATATGTGGGGACCTAATAAATTCCTTTTGGTTTTCTTCTATTTGAGCTAGTCATCACTTCAGAATGAGGCAGAATGTAAACTGTCATCCAAGGCACCACTTGCCACATATGCAAAAGATGTGTGTGATCAAACTGAAATGGAAGAAGAGCCCATTACAGCTGTTACTGCCT